GCTGCAGCACTTACCTTAAAATTTAATATGAAGGATCTTTCTTGCTCCGAAAATTTCGATACGTTAAAAATGATATATTGACAAAAAATTCAACAATGGAATATCCCGCACTCATTTAAGTAAATAATTAAAAGGAATCCAAGCGTAAGTAACGTATTTTTGTTTTAGTTCATAAAACGTTTAATATACTTACTTTGTTATATATATATATGTGTGTGTGTGGGGGGGGGAGTGTGTACTGTGTGTGTGCACATTTAAGTTCAATATAAATATGAAAAAATAAGGATTTTTGGGCAATCAGAAAACATTTCAACGAGTAAAATTTATGGAAAATTATCTTAAAATAATGTAGGAGGACATAAAAAGTACTACGGAACACCAAAAACACAAAAGTACCACCTGTCAGCCCCTAAATTTTGCATACTGAATTATATATATAGTTATAAGTAAATTGTTATATATATATATATAATATATATTGCAATTAGTAAATTTATAAGGTAACATACTTAAGTTTTCTACACTAAAAACTAATTCAAAATTTCCCTTGTTATGATAGGACGTTAAATTAATAATATAACATACAAGAAAAGAACAATTATTTATCAAAACATGAGTATAAAAACTGAATTCGCCAGTTTCTGCAGACAGGAATAATTGCGCTCTTTAATTTCCTGTCCAGGCACTTCCGGATTGCTTTACAACTCCAAATGTACGATAAAAGCCATAAAATATTTATTTATTTATTTATTTTGCGTTTAGAGGTTGATTGTGTTTGGAACTATTTGGCTTTGATTACTTAACTTACAATTAAAATTCTTACTGAATTAAAACACGGAGAATACAAAACTTCCCTACATTTTATAGCTTGTTTGAAATGTTACTATTGAATGAAACAAGAAATGCATAATCTTAGCATTTGTATTACTAATAGATATCTCCATATTTAGTTTGCCCCCCATATATAGATACTTATTCGGTACTTATTTTTATTTTCTAATTCTTAAAAGATATTCAGATATTGTACGTAGCAAAATTTAAATTACAAAAGTAATTAAAATTTTTCTACGTAGGCGTTTAAGTTTTTAAACACCTTTGTATTACGAAAATAAGATGAAAAAAAATTTAATCTTGAGAAAACAGAACTCGAAAATTTAATAATAAAATTTTGTACTATTTAGAAGTGGATAGATTAAGAATTTTTTAACTAAGAATTTATATAATATTTTGAAGTTATCAATAGTAATAAATTTTAATAAAAACCTCTAATTTGTGATTTTGATTTTGCACCATGATTATAAATAATCTGAATACACAAAGACTGCCAATTTAAGATCTTCAGCAAGAGTATATTCAACTCATAGGTAGAAAAATCATTGACAAATAACGCTTTAATTAAAAAGTTTTAATATATATACAATATATAAACAAATATTTAAAACGATTATAAAAATTATGAAAATGTCGTATTCAAAATAAATAAAAGGAAATAATAGATTGCTAATAAAAATCTAAAAGCAATATATATTAAGTAAAATATATAATACATAGCAAAAATTATAACAATAAATATTCAGAAAATGTCAGAAAAGTTCATCAAAAGTCTAATTTATCTGCTTTCCCCTCTCCTCCCCTAAAAACGGATATTCGAAATTTCACGATGTATTACTCCACAGAGGTTTAGGTATATTTTATAAAAATTTCTTACTTTCATTTTCCCACATAAGACCCAAAATAATTATTGGATTAGCTTAAGAACTTCTCATTTGCCATTTCTTATATCAATAAAAATAATAGGCTTATTGTCAAATAATTTGAAAATACAATAGCAATTAAATTTCAATGTTATATAAATTCCAGCTCGGAGAGTAGGAATTGAAACTTTTATGTACTTTTATAATACCTATATCATTTCAATGGAATATATATATATATATATATATATATATATATATATATATATATATATATATATATATATATATATATATATATATATGTGTGTGTGTGTGTGTGTGTGTGTGTGAGTGTGTGTGTAAAATATTAAGCAAAAGTAAAACTTTTCAGTTTGCTGTTTTAATTAAAATTAAAAATTATAAATAGACGCACTCATTTTATTTATGCAGGTGATCTGTCATTTCTCAGTTATATATTTATTTATTGAAGAAATAAATTTTGCTAAACCCTCCCAGAATAAATAATTTTATCTTTACTTAACTTTAAATTATATGTAATATAAAACTATTAAATAATACCAAAAATTCGATTTTTAAAATCATATAAATCTATTTTTTTTTAAAAAAATCATGTTTCAATAATTTCGAACTTTTTTAAAAAACGCATAAAAATATAGTTTATTTAAATTCTTTCATAAATTTTAGCTGATTTCCTCTTTAAGATTTCGAAAATTGATTATATATAATTATAATTATCTTAGAATTTATTTTATTATTCTGATTTAGAAATGCACACGCTCTGACATGTTTTCACAATAGAACCGTATCGCAATGATAATAGTTTTCATTTGAACAAAACACACAAAAAATTATGTGAAAAGATGTGTGACACATGTTTGGTATAAATTAATTAAATAATATCGGTGTGTTCTCAATATTTTATCCCACCTAAAAATAAAAAATAACGTGCAAAAAAAACCCAGCTATTTTCAATAAATTTTATCCAAGACTTTCTAAATATAGAAAAAGATAGTGAAGTGTTTTCCTATTTTTTTGTATAAAAAAATGTTTTCGAACGATATTGGCTTTTTAAGACATGTTCATAAGCTTACAATGCGTTACTATACAGAAACTAAAATGTTATTTTTGATTTGACATTTTAATTTTAATGTACCACAGCTGAAGATACTTACTTGGATGTATGGAATTTATCATTCATTATATATGTTACCTTTAAAATGTGAAATCCGTTATTTCATAGAATAACTAGGTATTTCCTGAAATAACTAGACAAGTCAGTTAAAGTACATAAAATTATTGGATTCCACGATTTAATTATAGGTATTCTATAAAATAACGATAGCTGGATCATTAATGTATGAAATACCACATTCGCGTGAAAGTTCTTTGAATCAGTTCTAGGTGCTTTAGAAAGTTTTTTTCTAATTAGGATAAGAGAGGCCAAATAAAACAATTGCCCTCTGAATATCAGTTCAGTAAATGTCTCTCAACAAGAATTGCTTTCCAATGAAGAAGCTCCAAACATTGACACAACGCTTCGATTTGATGCAACAGCTCGGTTGTGGTACTGGACAAGGATTTAAAATGTGCTCGTGTAAAAAAAATGTGTAATGGTAAAAAGTGGGCTAGTTTCAAAAATAATAAGCAGTCCAATCCAAAGTGTCCTCACAGGAATCTTTGATCTAATAAATAATGAAAAGTAAAACAAAGGTATATCATAAAATTTAAATTAATATTATCTTACATTTTTGTTAAAAAAGTTTACACAATGTTTTTTTTTTTTTTTTTTTTATGAAGCAACGGTTTTTGTTCATAACATGTGTTTTTGTTGATAATATTTAAATATAATCTATTTTTTCTTTTTTCTCCTTTCTGTTTAACTGTTAGTAATATGAGCAATAATAAATTATATAATCTGCTTTCCCTTATTATTTATCAATTATTCATCCGCAAAAGAGATAAATTGTATTTTTCGGGAGATTTTAGCTATTTATGATAAATTAATTTATAAAATATCTTTGAAATTGTTTTTTTCACCTAGTTATTTCATAGAATAACTAGGTAGAGTATGCAATTTTTTACATCTGTTATATACTTTAACTGACTTGTCATGAAATACCTAGTTATTCGATAAAATAACTGAATTATTCACTTTAATATGGTAGCATATACATGACTAACATGAAGAAATAATATATTTCCCAAATGATACAAAAAGACATTTGTTAAGTATTTATTATTGGTCAAGAGTTATTCGTAAAGTTAATATTATGATGCAATGCGTATTAGCTTTTCTATCACTGATGGATGTTTGTGTAAAAAATTAAATAAAACTAAAATTTATTTTAAGTCTGAAAATAAGGCTTTCTTATATTTTCTTCTTACACAATACATGAGTAGTCTAACAACAAATAAATTCCTTATCTGTCATTTGAAAGATAAACATTTAAAATTTACATCACACCTCGTTCAAAACTATTCAGACTCATCATTTACTGCACCCATCTCATCTAGACCGAGATCATTTGTTTAAGATATAAATGCGTTTCTGATAGCACAGACATGACACCAAATGACAGCTAATTTCCCCCGTATATGAGCTCATATAAATGAATGCAATTTCGAAATGAAAGGCAGAAAGCCCGCATTTAACTGGAATTCCGAATAAATTTATTTGTCCGTTAACCCCCTCGTTCTAATTTCATCCATTGGTTCCATACGACAACATAGAGAGACCTGAAGAGTATTGAAGTGTAAGCTCAGCTGAAATTCGAAGCTCGAAAAGCATCTCTACAATTTGAAGGCGCTCTCTGTCTACTCTATTTTTAAAATAACAGCATTTTCAGTGAAATTATTTTCTATGCTTCATGTTTCATACTGATACATGGCGTGAGAAAAAATAAAGAAAAGATATATAACAAAAAATTTATTCGTAATACAAAAAAAATCATATAATGCAAACATAAAAAGTAATGTAAATATATATATATATATACTATATATGTGTGTGTATAATAATATAAAAAAAATTTTAAGACAATTCCTACTTATGTCAACAAGGAAAATTTTTATTTTAATTACTTTTTATTAACTAAATACAATTAATATAAATATGTATGAATATGACAGAATCACAATATTCAGTGACAAAATAGAAAGCGATTTTCCTTGCTATTTTCAAATTTCCTTTCTATATATGGTGTTGGACTATTATTTTTGTTTGTTACTATTTATTCATGAATTAAATTTCATTATTCCAATAAAATAGTTTAGTAAAATGAAATCACATTCTCAGAAATTAGTTAGTTCAAGTAGAATATTCGAACCCACTACCTTTGAATTAGAAGTCCAACGCGCTATCCATTGCGCATTAAAGACACAATAAGCGGTTTTCCTTTTTCTATATGGTGTTGGAATATTATTTTTGTTTGTTACTGTTTATTAATTAATTACATAAAAAAATAAATTAATATTTGAAAACAATGTATTAAAATCAAGTGTCATTTACTACAAGTTTAAAAAAATGTATTTGAACTTGAGTGGATGAATAAAAAGTACTTTACTAACGATTAGAAATTTGAACAAGATATATTAATATATATATATATATATATATATATATATGTAGGGAGAGAGTGAACTAATAGTAGGAATTGAAAAATGAACATGTATAAAAAAGGAATGTTGATGAATTTGTATAAAAAGCCATTTTTTATGGATTGGCCTCAAACAGACGAAAGGATCTTAAAACTTTTATTTATTGTTTCCTTTGGTCCGTAATGAAAATGAGATACCTTCAAGATAGGGTATCCATAAATTAACACAAAAATATTGTTAATGTTTTTCTGAGTTTCTCATCTACTTCTTTAAGATATTCGTTTTTCCATCAAGAGAATACACACAACAGTTTGAAACCCACGTGAGCTCATGATACTCTCCATTACTTCCACTACTACATTACTCTCCACTACTACATTACTTCTCCTTTCCTTTATCCCTTACACATATCACCACGACAACCAAGTGGTTATGGTCGCAAACTGGTGGCTCGATTTCTGTCGAGTCTAAAATTCGTGTCCTGGTGCCACTTCTGTGTGCATATTAAATCTGTCAAGGTTCAGAATCCTTACGTTGGTGAAGTGTGGAAATTTGGAGAGTGGGGTGTCAGCTTATGCAGGGATATCTTGAGACCCTGGGCCCCTACACAAAAGAACCCCCCTCTATGACCCTTAAATGTAGACAGTACAAAGCATACGTAGTCAAATACTCGTACAAACAATTATCCGAAGCAAATACATGTATCTTATAATCACACAGATCGGCTCTACCGACTGCCGCCTTTTGACTTCAGAAGTAATGCTGGTGAATCGTGGTAGGCCTAGACCCAGTGGCGTAATATACAACCCCGCATTGGGGGGGCAGGGATTGTAGGGGGCCCAAAGCCTGACTGACGCCAAGTAAGTATTAGGACTTGGGGTCCAAAAGTTGACTTTGCAGACGGGCCCTAATGTTCTCCGTTACGCCGCTGCCTAGACCTATACATGGATCATGGTCATCACATTTAGCCAGTTGACATACCGTCTGAAATTCCCATTTTTGGTATAATACAACTGGAAATAACATTTGACCATTGGAATTATTCGAATCATGATCTTATTAAGGCTGAGTCGAGAATGAGACAAGGCCCCCCATTGTCACGAGAACCTGGGCCCGGGTACAGTTGGCCCATGCCTTAAGAAGTCCCTGGCCTTAGGTGCCGTCTTTGTCGCTTGACCGTGATTAAAAATTACGAAGATCGTTACCAACAGCCCTCGTGTAACTTCAAAGTGCGGCATTATTAAATAATCAACCAACTAATCTCTCTTCGTGAGCTTAAGTTCAACATTCTCTAGGACCGTTACTTAGGAATTTGATATTCTTCCCAAAATGTGACGTATTTAAATAGGAAAAAAAATTTCCTGGTGTTTCCAACGACCACGAGTAAAATTAGTACTTTCATCTAATAGAAAAGGTAATAATTCCAGTTATTCATTAACCAAGACAGTTATAACTCCAATAAAATATTTTATGACAAGAGTCACGAAGAATGCTGCAAAAAAAATAATGCCGGTCTCTTTTTAATTAAAAATGTGGACTGTCATTTATTATCACTATACATATAAGTATTTAATTGTGTTTTTTATTGTCATAATTATAAAATAAAAATATATTGAGGATGTTATTGAAAATATTTTTAAAAATGGTACTCGTTTTTTTTTTTTTTTTTTTTTTTCAGTTTTACTCGTGTATTCTTTTTTAAGCAGTACACGTATTCCTAGATGTACGTGTACAACAATTTTTGAGAACCACTCAGATATTGTGTAACAATATATATATATATATATATATATATATATATATATATATATATATTAACATTATTGCGTTAATGTATATGTGGAAGGAATATACATTTTATAAAGTATTTACTTAATTGAATAGTATTTTGATTATTATATTATTATAAACACATAGCGTTTTTATTACAGAAACTGTTTCGAAATTGTAAAATATCAACGTATACTTCGCAAAGTTAGATTTTATTTGAATAAATGGAACCATCAGATAGGACAAACGTACTACGACAGAATTTACTTCCCAGAAATGACGAAAAATAAAATACAGATTTTGCGTGTGTTTCTCAAAATTTCAAAATAAATAACTGAAACATAATTTTAAGAGTAAAAGAGGAAAACTAGTAAAACAGGATTGAAACAGCACACAAAGAAAAATGAAAAAAAAATTTTTTTGAGAATTATTTCTCAATATTTACTTTTGTTGTCTAAAGAAATTTTAGTTAAGGTATCCAACTACCCTAAAATTCGGAATCTTGCCAAAAATTGACAATTTTTATTTATGATTTTATTTTATAGGCCACACCGTATTAGCTTTATGAAAATACCAGTTTTTTTAGTTTTCCATTCACTAGAACAAAAACTACAAGCATTTTAGTAAAAGTAGATGCCGCTATTTTAAGCAAGATGTCATTCTTTAAAATGCGTTTCACTCAAAATGAGTTTTTTTAAAAGGCTCAAACGGGGACGGCGATTACTCTAAAAGTTATGAAAATAATGAACTGAAATTTTTTGTTGTGTGTTATCACTGTTTTATTACAAAATTTACAGTCCCTTATGTGAATATAATCACAGTTTTCTTAAGTAATTTCATATAATAATTCAGATAAAGTGCTCTAGTTTTTGTACAAATTAAAATATCTCTTATCCTGAAAGTCATTTAAAAAAGAATAGCAAATCAACAAATCTAAATTGAAAATTTGTTCAGAAATTTTTGTACAGAATGGGTCCCATTTATGTAATTTTTTCCCATTTTTTCTTATTTTAGTAGTAATAATTTCTCTTTCTCTTCTTAATTTTTGCATATTTTTCTTAAAATTACTAAATGAAACTAAAAACCACAAAAAAAAATCCCCATATGTCCATTTTTTTAAAAAAGTTGTCGCAAGTAGTCGGAATCCTTAAAACAATTCATACATAGTATAATTGACTAAACTAAGTATTCTCAAAATATATAACCGATATACTACTAAACATAAGAGAAGCAATGGGGATAAGAATAGCATAATTCTGAACAATTAAGGTATCTGACTACGTTCGGACCCGGGATTTTAAAAAAGCGCATAAATGGATAATTTTCATGATATTTAGTGTCACTACGATTAGAATACATGCATAAAATTGTTTTAAGGACATTTTGACAAAAAAATTAATTTATTTAAATATAATATTTTGGCAAAAAATTAACTTAGAATAATCTTTTTTCCAAATGTTCTCCTTTTTTGAAAAATGGTTCTATTATAATAATATTTTGACTGTATATAGCTCTGGCCTCTCTACAGAGGCTCAACGAGAATTTTTGAAAAATTCACATTATCTTCAGAGTTGCCACCAATTGAAATAAATATTGGCGTTTTTTTCTTAAAATTGCTCCCCTCCGTTGTCGTAAAATATGAATAAACCCACTTGTAAGTTATATATTTGAAAAATTCTAGTTGAGCCTCTGTAGAGAGGTCTGAGCTATATACAGGCAAAATATTACTATAATAGAACCATTTTTCACAAAAGGAGAACATTTGGAAAAAAGATTATTCCAAGTTAATTTTTTGCCAAAATATTATATTTAAATAAATTTGTTTTGCCAAAATGTCCTTAAAGCAATTTTATGCATATATTCTAATCTAAGTGACACTAAATATCATGAAAATTATCCATTTATGCGCTTTTGCAAAATCACGGTTCCGAATGTAGTCGGATACTTTAAATATAAACTTATGTAAAACGTTTATATACTTAAATAGATAATTAGAATATAGTTGGAAGCAATCTGATTGCGTGCGTTTGAAAATATAGAATTTTTTTTATGTTTACTTCAGAAACAAAGTCAGAAAATTGTGATTTATTTTCGGTTTCTAGGAAAATGTATATTTGATAAGCGTAAGTTTTTATTCCATTTAATAATATATTTTTTTAATTATTTGTTGACGTACGGTTTTAACTGTTTATTTTAGACTGTAATTAACAATAATTTTAATGGCCCTTTTAAAGAATATTATATTACGGAATTTTATAATAAATATCTATTAGAAATTAATTCATATAAAAAGTAAATATATTTGATTAATAGGTTATTTCAAGAGAAATATTAATATTAGAAAACGAAAAAACTATTTACAAAATTTTATATCGAAAGAAAAATTAATTTTGAATATTGACATCAAACATATTGTATTACTGTTACGTTTAAGATAATGATAATAATTTAAGAGATAATTATATACGTATGGATAAACATAATTGTTTTGGATTAACTAATTTTTGGTTAGAAACTCAATAAATAAATTTTCACATATAAATTCTATTTGTTTATTACTTATATTTCTAACGCGTCATAAAATCTTAATAAAAACTCAAAACCTTTCAGTTATTTAGCTTCTTTAGGAAATATGCATAAATAAATATATTGCAATGTTTATCTAATTTATAAATAAATTAGCATAATGTTAGAATGGAAAATTTTGCAGAGATTGACTTGAAAAATGTATTCGATTTGAATCACCGCAAATCATTACTGGAAATAATCTAACTTCGATTTGGAATCAGAAATATCTGAAAAGTTTTATTCGATTTCTTGAAAGAAATTTTACTCAGAGAATCCATATTTCTAGAAATTAATGTTATTGATAAAGCTTGAGAAATTTATAAAAATGTTAATATTCCTTTTGATACAACTCTAAAAATACATCGTTGCATGCAATCGTTCGTATTCGAAATAACTTCTTTTTCATTTATAATTTAAAGTTGAATTTTTTAATATT